ACGGGGGTGGGGTGCCAGTGGAGGCTGAGAGTCCCCTGCATCTGCCTCCTCCCAGGATTCTATCCCCTCCTCCCCCACCAGGGAAGCCAGCGGGTGCCTCCTCCGGGGCCAACTCTCCCCCTGCCCCGCCCCCAGTTCAGGGAAATCCTGCGCGTGCCTGCTCTGGGGCTGACTCACCCCTCCTGCACCAATACATAGATGTCTGCCTGAGTTTGCAGAAAGCTGGAAAAATAGCATCACCCATTCATTTCATCAGGCTAACTTAGTTGCAAGGAACAAAAAACAGGACTATGTAGCACTTTAAAGACTAACAAGATGGTTTATTAGGTGATGAGCTTTCGTGGGCCAGACCCATTTCCTCAGATCAAATAGTGGAAGAAAATTGTCGACCGGTTGATCTTTATCGACCTGTTGGTGACCACGGGTCTATATGCAACAACTTGAGAGAAGTAAAAATTTTTATTCCCCAGCAAATAGAAGCAACAATTTTTGCATTTTGTTTACCAAGATCTATTCTGTTAATTGTATGGCTTTGACGTTATTGACCCATCTAATTCACAAATACCACAATAATTCATTCTTCTCGCAAAGAGGTAGTAACCTGATTTACCTCTTCAATGGATAGTCATAAATAGTAAGTGACAATGCTTAACACAGTCATGCATAAAAGCTGCTACAATACATGTTTAGATAAGACATTTAAAAAGTAGTAAAGGAATATAATGCTTGGAATCAAGACATTCACTAAGACTTTTAGGGATTGATACTCAACCCTACAAAATGTATTGGCCAAACAGACACCTGTTGTTAGCTAGATTTTTGCCTCCATCCCCCAAAGAAACACCACAACCCTCTCTGTGGTCCATGTTGGTGTTTACAAAACATGCTACACAAACATCCTCTCAATTACATTCTCCTTTGAATTTTTCCTATAAAATTATTAACATTTAGAACTCGATGGCAATATTTCCAAGTATCTCCTTTCTGGAGACTGAGAGAATTGGTCCTCTAAGTATAAATATAACATTTCCTTCCTGTCCATGTAATGTTAATATTTCCATATTGAAGAGGGACTATTTCTTTCCAACTTCTTTGGCATTTATGAAAAAAACCAATACTTTCAAGATAATCACTTGCACCATACAGAAATGGCTCATTTTGTTTATTGTCTGAATCTGTCTCCAGTTAATTAGGGCAACCAATACAGATGGTCTTCTCTTCTTTTTTTTTTAAACAAGTTCAAAGAAGTTTGGTTATCTGGGCATTGGTATCATCTGACTCCATTTCTTATCACAGTAGTTCCTGCTCCAATGTCATAGGCTGTTCTGTTATGCTGAAAAAAATAGCACTGTAATGAATGCAGGAAGAAAGGAAGCAATAGAAAAATGATTCATCAAAGCTTGAATTGTAGACCTAGAATGAGAAGGAAATCTGTTTAATTTTCAGTCCCTGCCCACAATAGTTTTTCCACTAATCCAGTACCTCAAATTAATGCAACACATGGATTTAGAAATAAAGTATTTTAACATGAAAAGCTAAAATATGCTTTTGTTTAAGTGATTAGATAACCAGGACTTGATTCTTGGTCACTACAGCAGATCAGTCAGGATTTTGTCTGATAATCAGTACCACAAACCAGACTTTAAAGCCAGAAAGGACTGACATGATCTTCTAGTCCACTTTGACTTCCTGCACACTGCAGACTTCAGAATCTTGCTCATCCATCCTGCAACAGAAACATATCAGACGGAATAGATCCCCTCAATTCTTTAGTGGTAAGAGGCAGACCAGACCCCCTCATTGCCAAGTATGTACTGATAGATTTCTCATTGAACATGATTGCTTTAATAAGAAAACAAATTTACAAAATGTTTGCAAAGTATTCTTATTTCAAATTATGTAATTGCAGTACATAATTGTACATTATTATATCTTTAATTTGTTAAAGATATAATAAAATGAAGAATACTTATGTTGCTATGCTAACATTGTAATAAAATCACCCTTCAAGAGGCGGTGCTTGGTCAAAACAAGAATTCTTCTACTGACCTAGCTTCAGCCACAGGGGGTGTTAAATTGGCCAAATACATGACAGAAGGCATAAGATTTTTCACAGCCCTTGGCAATGCAGCTAATTTGATCTAATATTTAGGTGCAGACTACCCTTACAACTCTCCTACTGCAAAATAAATGTCCACACAGAGATTTGCATCAAAATTTTTAAAAGATGCACGTTCAAACTAGTTTAGTTACAGTACTGGTGTGTAGGCAGTCTGAGAGATGATTCCACAACACATGCGCTCACAAACTGTCCATCTTTTCTGGCTTTTTTTCAACAGAACTTTTGAATCCAGCAGAATATTTCAAAATCAGTTACATTGATGGGTGGTGGAGAAGGAGTGTCTGTGTCTTCCCTATTCATTTACCAGTACAAGGCTGCCCGTAATTTGTTAGAGATGTTCGTGTGTATGTGAATTAATACCTGCCTGGGTGATGTTTTTATCCATTCTGCCCTGCCTGCACTGGGGCTTTGCTCTCTGTGTTGCTCCAGCAGCGGAGTTTACCTGCTGCTCCTCCCCTAAGCTCAGTGCCCCTAAATTCTCCATAAGTAGCGCAGTTTCATAGGCTATGTCTACACTACCAGGTTATTTTGCAATAAGCTTATTCCTCTTCACAAGCAGGAGTTATTTCAAAACAACACGCTGGGTAGTGTGGACACCTGTCTTATTTCAAAATAAGGGGAGTTATTTTGAAATAACTCCCCAGTGTAGACATGCACATAGGGAGCAGTTTTCTATATACCACCATCCTAGGTGGGACTGGGGCATGTGGCAGGGGCAGCTCTGCCTAGTGGGTAGCGGCCCCTGGGCTCAGAGCGCTGTGCCCCCAGCAGTCTGCCAGCAGGAGTTATCCAGGTTGTGGGTGTGGGCAGCTCGGTACCCACCCAGGGGCAGGGATTGGACTGGACTGGCTATGAGCCTGGCTCAGCTGCCAGGGGGAATAGCTAGCTGGCCCGGCCCCTGAGGAGAGAGGTGAATTTGGGCGTCACATCAATGCGGGCAGGGGTGGGAGATGCGTGTTCTGATGGGGGAGGGGCCCAGGCCGCACTGGGGTGCAGTGGCAAGATGAGGGGGCAAATGCAGGGGAAGTCCTGTTGTGCTGGGGGGGGGGGGGGAACTGGGCAGGGAATTCCGGGCGCTGCAGCGGCTCAGTGGCAGTTGGAGCCGTTGGGAGGGGATGTCTGTTCAGGGACCAGGGATCTCCCCTTGGTCCCCCCGCCATGCCTCTGCTGCTCCCCAGCCTTCTTCTGCAGCTCCTGGGTGGCTGCAGCTCCCTGTGCCAGGCCGCTGCGGCCGCCCCACATCTCCAGCTCCCGCCACTGCTAGTCACCTGCTCTGACCCGCATGGGCGCGTCTATCGGCGCCAGGACACTGAGGTCTGGGTCTCGTGCCTATGGGACGGTCCCATCGAGCTGCATTATACTCGGGCCCCAGGAGCAGTGTCCAGAACCCAGGAGGGCGACACACAACTCCCACCCCCACCACGTTGCCGCTGGTACCGTGACTCGGCCTGGGTGCAGGACACGTCTCGCTGGGCGGGCAGGGCAGTACTGGGCCCAGGCCCCGGGCGGGGAGGCCCTGCTCCACCCTGGGCCTCAAGCCACATCACAGACCAGTGTGTGTCAGCCTTGTGTGCCATGCCTATGTGTCTGTACCGCAACCTGAGCATCGAAGTGTCCGGGCAGGATGTGCGGCTCTTCCTGCTTTGGCCACCTGAACCCCCTATCCTTGAATGGCAGCCTGTGCAGCTGGGCTGGTGTGCACGCCTCAAGAGTGCACGCTGGCGCTACCGCTTCAGCAGCCGCGGGGGCAACCCTGCTGCACTCCTCATTCCTAGCAACCAGCACCACAAGCAGCCCCCACCTGCTGCCTACCCAAGAGCCGAATTGCACCAGGTCTGTGCCTCCTATTACAGTTACCGCCTGACCGTGCACTATACACACCGTGGCCTCTACGTTGCCTCAATCACCATGGAGCGGGGGCCACCGATCAGCCTCAGCCTCACCCTGAGAGTGGAGCCTGCTCTTCTGCATGTCCTCAGTGCCCACTCCAAGCTGTTCAGCCTTCCTTACCAGTCCCTGAGCCTTTCCTGGAGCCTGCAGCCCCTTGGCCCCAGGACACTGGCCTATAGGCTGCTGGACATGCAGGGCATGGAGGGCTGGTCAGCCTCCTACAATCCTTACGCTTTGCAGAGCAACTTCTGTGTTAACTCCATGCCCCAGCAGGCTAGTGAAATGGCACTGGCCAGCATCTACTTCCACACTGATGGAGAGTGGTTTGGGGAGCTGACAGGGGAGCTGAGTTTTTCCAATGCTACATTGGGTCTGGCAGTGAACAGCAAAATTCCAACCTACCTCTCCCTCAATGCTGAGAAGACCAAGATGGGCACTTACATTTTTAGCCGCAGCCATGGACTCTATTACACCATCCAAGAAAAAAATGCAAGTGCCCCTGATGATGACTTCAGCACCCATTATATATTTTTCCGGCAGCAGAGCCTTTCTTTCTTGCTCACCATTGAGTTTCTGAAGTTGCAGTGGTACAAGTTCAACATGCATTTATATCTGAACCGGAAAGGGGCCTTGTTCAAGTCTCTAGTGGACAGAGATATAGAAGTCCACATTTTCAATAGCGGGCCTTCTTTTTTGCGGAGTTCGATCTACATTGTGTGGTTCATTCCTGTGCAACATCCGATGCTGCAGTGTGAGTGGACCTTCAACCTGCAATTGTTTGGCTCGAGGAAAGAGTACCTCATCCAGAACAATACTTATACTTATGATGATCATGTCAGAAATGCAGCTCACTTTGTCCGTCGCTCTGTTTTACCTTTTAATCCTGACCTGTACACAGGGTTTGTGGCAAAAGTGAATTGTACCAGAAGTGGACTTACACCAGCTGTTTTAAAAGTCACAGTCAACACTTACGCTTCCAAGGTTATGGAGTCACTAGTGTCTTGTCAGAAAAAACCTTGTTTCATAGAGCGTTTGAGAATCCAGAAGCCTGATCTTGTTTACCCCATAATACATACTAAAAAAGGGACACAACTTTACCTGTATGCCAAGATGCAAGTCAACTGCACAGATCTTGTACGTACTGAACAAATATGGAAAATCTATAGTGTTCAAAATTTCACAACCATTCCAGACTGGACTAAACCTTTGAATCCACCCCTCATCTGGAGAAGACATATGCTCATTTTACAAATTCCTAGTTTTAGTTTAGATTATGGTTTGTATCTGTTTCAGTTCTCTGTTAAAATAACCACAACTGAGGATGTTGTGGAAGGCTCAGATACAGTTTTTGTTCGGGTTGAGAAGAGTGACCTGGTGGCAGTTTTTGCTGGAGGTACTTTCCGGACAGTGGGTTTTTCTGATAAATGGACTTTGGATGGATCTATGTCTTCTGATCCTGATTCAGCGGACCGACTAGAGGGGCTCACATTTACTTGGTACTGTACAAAACATGTATCAGATTATACAAACATGATAGTGAGTACAAATGGGACCTGTCATCCCAACCAAGTAGATTTGAAATGGATACATTTTTCTGGTCCTACTCAGACTGTTGTGCCAGAGACCCTTCGAGGAAATGCTATATATCATTTTCGTTTGGTCATTCAAAAGGATAACAGAAAGAGTTATGCTGACCAAACTGTAAGTGTGCGACCTGGATCTCCACCTCTTTTGAATGTTATATGCATTGAAAATTGTGGTAAAATTGTAATTCCAACAGATAGATTTACACTATCTGGAAAATGCCTAAACTGTAGGATGACTAGTCGACCAGTCTATCACTGGTCCCTTTTTTCAGGAAGTTTCACTGAAATACAATTTGATTGGGCTTCAAAAACCTCAACAGGGAAGTCGAGTGCATACCTGTCTATACATGCGTTGACTTTTATAAAAATTGCAGACCGGTCATACACTCTTCTCCTAAAAATAAGCACTTGGGGTGGTAGGTCATCAACCTTCAGGTACTCATTTTATGTAAATTCACCACCTAAGATTGGAAAGTGTGCCATCAATCCATCCAGCGGTGTTGCATTCCAGACAAAATTTGTTGTTCAGTGTAGTGGATTTTCAGATAACAATTTACCTCTTATGTATAAAGTAATAGCAGCCTCAGATTTATCGAAACGTAGTAGAATAACTTCTTTAGAAGAAAATACATCGGGGACAATAGTGTATTTTGGCTATCTGCCTAAATCTCCTCCATCTTTTCTCCCCATTGGTATACCATCTAAGAAGTATACTTTGATAATCTATGTTCAAGTGTATGATTCCCTTGGGGCATTTTCCCAAGTAGCTTTATACCCAACAGTGCAGGATCCAGTCAAAAGTAGACCACCTAGTATTATGCTTAATGAACTGCTTACTTTGACTACTGGTTCAAATGCAGCAATGACATCTTTGCTTCAAATTGGAGATTATTTAAATGTAGGCTATTTGGTTTATATGGTAGCTACAATTTTAAATGATATTAAAACTGTACCAAGTATCCAGGTGTCTAAGACTGAATTTAGGGAAAGCCTTCTTAATCAGTCTCTGCATATTCCCACTACCAACATCATGGAAGTAAATCAGATAGTTGCTTGTGTTTCTGAATTAACACAGGAATCCACTGAAGTAAACAGAAAGTCACAAGAGCTTGCCATTAGAAAATTGAAAGATGTGAGTGAAGCTCTAAAAACATTCAGGAATAAAAGCCTGGGGTCTGAACAAACAGAGCTTCTGAGCACTGGTATACTAACAGGTCTGTCCAATGTCCTGAAGGCTTCTCTTTTAGACCTTAGAAATGTCAATGTGAATGCAGTTAAACAATCCTTCGCTGTCATGGAGACTTTAACAGAAACAGTCTTACAAGGCAAAGTCCCTGGAGAAAATGAAACTGTAATGGAGGCCCAAACCTGGAACATTAATTTAAACAAAGATGAAAAGTGGGATGTCACAAATACTTTCTCTGCCAAAAAAGATTGCAAGAATTGCTTTTATCCAACACTGAATCAGGGGGATCATTCAGAATTGCCAGTAGATGCTGTGATTGCCACAGTTTTTTATGAGTTTGAAGAGAACCCCTTTCCTTGGTTGGCATATAGGTCAGATATTGTAACAACAGTCACTGGGTTCAAAATGACAGGAACCAAGGTGAATGGTGATGTAATAGGGATCATGCCTGCAGTAGCAGAAGTGATTCTTGCTAGAAAAGACAAGGAGTCTGCAGCTTTTAAACTGACACTAGGGCCTGATAAAACCCTCCCAAAAACAACTGGAGGATTTAGTTTTGAAGTGGATAGAAACTCCAAGGACATATTTGTCCAGATTTTGACTAAATTAAAAGTTTCTTTCCATGTATTTATATACTTAGGTGTTAATGTTACCCACACCTCTCCTATAGCTTCTTTTTTTGCTTCTCATAATGAGCCTGCTGTTTCAAGTGGGAATAAGTCAAATAACACAGATTGTGCGATTAAGGCTCCTTATGTTATCTGTCTTCCACAGTCGCTGCTCAGGGCCACAGCCCCAGGCAGTGGGACAGATAAATGGAACATCTCCATAATCTTGCAATCACCCCCTATTGTGAGGTCCCGAAACAGAAGATTGGTAAGCATATCCCTTTTTAATGCTGCATGCTTAGACTTAGATGGAGTGCAGAGTCAGTGGAAAGAAGGTACATGCATTCTTGGCCCTCATACCAGCTGGCAAAGGATACATTGCATCTGTAAGACGAAGCAGCAGACCAAGAGAACAGCAAGTCGCCCCGGACTTGGTTCCTCCAAATTCAATATCAAGTTTTTGGCCTCCAAGGTATTTGTGGTCCCTAACCCAGTGGATCTGGAAAAATCACTTTTAGCAAAAATACACAAAAACACAGTGACCCTCCTAACAGTGCTTTTCATTTTTTTAGTCTATTTTCTCCTAGCTCTCTGGGCCCTGAGAAAAGATAGGATTGATAAAGCTAGCAGGGACAAAGTTATAGTCCTGCCAGATAATGACCCCTTTGATAAAGTATGCTTCTTGGTAACATTATACACAGGCAGTCGCTTGGGAGCTGGAACCACAGCAGATGTTTTTCTCCAAATCATAGGCCAAAATGGCACCAGTGATGTGCATTGCTTACGGCACCCAAATTATCATTCATTCTTTCGAGGAGGCACTGATACGTTTCTACTAACTACCAAGAATGATTTAGGAGACATTTATTCCCTTAGGGTCTGGCACAATAACGGAGGTTCTTCTCCTAGTTGGTTCTTAAGTAGAGTAAAAGTTGAAAATATGTACACTAAAGAATTCTGGCTGTTTATCTGCAGGAAATGGCTTGCTCTTGACAAAGATGATTGCTTACTAGAAAGGACATTTGTTGTCACACATCCAACAGTACCTTTGGCCAAAATGGACTATTTTTTGATAAATGTTGCCAATAATCTGGTAGATAGTCACATATGGTTATCTATTTTTGCTCAAGTTGTCACTGGATCTTTCAACAGACTCCAAAGATTATCTTGTTGTTTAGCGGTACTGTTGTGTACGTTGCTTATTAACATTATGTTTTTTAATATCGACAAGAATAAAGATGTTATTTCAATACATTTACGATATTTTAGATCAATAATAATAGGAATTGAAAGTGCTTTGGTTACCATTCCTGTGCAAATGATTATAACTGCCTTGTTTAAGTATTCCCAGAAGGAGCCTTTTCCACATTGTGCAGCTCAGAATCACCCAAAGGAAAATTCACCCTTCATGTCTGGAAACCTTAGGAATTGGAAGGAACGCCTGCAAAAATGGTACCTTGCAGAGGCTCCTACTCAATCTGTAAGGAGCAATTGTCCAGAGAACTGTTCCAATGCCAATGATTCATCTAGCTTGCAATATTTTGATAAGAAAATGAATCAAAGAACACCAAAATTGTGGAGTAATTGCACAATCTCGGAGGGTGCTGCCAATACAATTGCAGCAGAAGAGGAAAATGCATCTGGTACATCAACTGCAGAAGCTAAAGCCAAACAGACCCAATCACCAAACTCCAATTTCAGTAATAATTATGCAGAAGAAAAGAATGCAAACATTCAGGAAGAAAGAAAACCATTAAACATCCCCTTCATGCTTTTTCGCAAAAGGCCACAGATAACTTTTTGTTGGTGGTGCATCTATGTCTCTTGGATATTGGTCATTGCCGTAGCTGGGGTGTCATCATTTTTCATTGTATTATATGGGCTGTCCTATGGCTACAAAACATCAATAGAGTGGCTTTTAGCATCAATAACCTCATTTTTTGAGAGTGTGCTTCTTCTTCAAACCCTAAAAATCATTATTTTCTCAGCTCTGAGTTCAGTTTATCCAAAGTACTGTGAAAACATCCCATGGTCAACCAGGGATAATTACCTTGAGATTGGGTTGGATGAAGTTACTATGGATGCAGATGAGATGAGAGAAATGCACTATGAAATTATCAGACTCAGAGGCTCTAAGCAGTATCAGCCCTTACAAGAGGATGAAGTCACAATCATGAGGAAAAGAGAGAAAATTAAAATCAAAGCTTTCATCTTCCTGAAGGACGTTGTCAGTCACTTTGTCTTTTTAACTCTAATATTAAACATTGCCTACTCCACAGAAAGCACCAACAGCTTTTATTATAATCAAGTTATTCATAAACAGTTCTCTCTCAAGCTGTCCAGTGTGGATAAAATAGAACACATTTACTTGTGGGTAAACAATGTCTTTTTGCCTTTGATCCACAATAGCCAACAACCAACTTTTATTTCTGACAGCTGGTCCAAAATTCTAGGTTTGCCAAGGATGAGGCAAGTAAGAGCAAAAATTACTGAGAAAAAATGTTTCCAGCCTCACAGCTTTGTAAATAAATTTGTGATCAGTAAAAGCCATTGTCTTCATAAATATGGCAGTGACCCCGAAGAAAGAGGTGACTATATTGGTTCTTGGACAAAGGGGCCCAATACCTCTGTTCCTCATGACATCAGCAGCTATGCAGGATTTACATACCAGTCAAACAGAAATCATTGGGTGTATTACTCATATGGAGAATTACACACATATGGACCAGGGGGATATACTTTTTACTTTTTCCCTGCAGAACAGCGGCCTAACTCAACAAAAAGGCTGGATGTTTTACAACATAGCAATTGGCTTGATGAAGAGACATGGGCTGTGATTATTGAACTAACTACATTTAACCCAGATGTACATTTATTTTGCAGCATCTCGGTCATATTTGAAATTTCTTATTTTGGGCTCATAAACACAAGCTTGTCAGTTCATTCTTTCACGCTCCCAATTTTCCAGCAGCAAAGCAGAACACAAATTTTTGTGTTTGTAACTGTTCTTGCTTTTCTCCTCATTTATATCACAGATGAAATTCACATCATACGCCAAGAACAGACCATGTATGTTAAAAATATTTCCAATTTAATCAATTTTGGCCTAAAGTCAGTGTTTTTCTTTTTTGTTTTCCTGCAAGTCATCAAATTTAAGATGGGGGCTGATATAGTAAAGTTTTACTTACTTAATCCAGATGATTTCATTCCTTTCCATACAGTTTCTCATGTGGATCAGACCTTGAGGATAATTATGGGCTTTTTGGCATTTCTCATAGTTTTGAAAACTCTCAGATATTCCAGATTCTTTTATGATGTGCGCCTGGCACAAAGATCTATCTTAGCAGCTCTTCCTGGAATCTGTTCTATGGCACTTGTGGTGGCAGTGTACTTTTTTGTATACATGGCTTTCGGCTACCTAGTATTTGGCCAACATGAATGGAATTATAATAATATGATTCATTCAGCTCAGACGGTCTTCTCATATTGTGTTTCAGCTTTTAAGGACACTGCTTTTACATCCAACCGGTTGCTGGGTGGTCTTTTCCTAGCCTCTTTTATGCTGGTGATGATCTGTGTCTTGATCAATTTATTTCAAGCTGTGATTATGTCTGCCTATGAGGATATGAAACAACCAGTATATGAAGAACCATCTGATGAAGCAGAGGTCATCACTTTTCTAGTTCATAAGATCAGAAGGCTGTGGTATTTTATCACCTGTAGGACACCATCAGCAAGTGATCCAGATCTTTTTAATAGTGTACTGTATGGCCAAGCAGAAAGGTATAGCCACCAACACTTAGGGCTAAAGACAAAAAAAATAAATGGCAAGAAAATGGTTTATCTTGTAATATAAGTAACGTAAGCTTTTATGTGCAGTAAGACTGATTTGTAAAAAAGAGCAAAATAATTATAATTCTCCTCTAATACTTATTTCACTAATCAGTGCTCCTAAATATTCTGAATTATCTAGTTACATTAAGGAATTCTCAGCATAACAGCCATTCACTGCAGTAATGGTCCTCAGATTTACCTCAGAACCCTTTGAGACGGCTCTCATAGCATTTTAAATAAGACATCAGTTCATAAAACATTTCATAAGCAGCAATCAGGATTCAGTTCACTAGTTTTCAGGGTCACCCTTGCCTCTGACAACAACCCAGCTGAATATGACTGAGCAAATACATTAAAATGAAAGACTGGAAAAATGGTCAGGTGGTAGGGTCATGACATGTATACCCATGCCCAGAAACTGCTGTGAGGTTCTTCACGAAATACAGCCTAGAGGATGAAAAATGTTACGCTAAAGAAAAGACAGGACAATCTATAATGATTTGATCTGGCAAACAAACAAATAAAAATGCTTTCAAAACTAAATTTCTCTAAGAAGGAAAATTTAAATACAATATTATAAGGTACTACAAAGAATCAGCAAATACCCTTTGCTATGTATTCAGACTGCATGCAGTGGAATTCTGGTATATTTTGCTACTTTGTTTGCATAGGTGGTCAATATGTTAAGTTTTACTAAGTAATGAATGTCAGATAAATTGGGTGCAGGCAAGAAGGATGGACTTGCTTATCACATCAAGCATTATCAGATAACCTCATTTCTAATGGAATGTGTTTCAAGTATGTGCTTTCATTATATGTTCATCTTTTGCATGGACTCATTCTCTTTCTTAGATGAGTCCTTATTTATCTGATAAATTCTAAATTCCTCTTTCTGCTTTACTATACTAATCTGTCATTATTGTATATTCATAGAATACTTTTGCGTGTGAGCCAATTATATTGTGGGAACACATGCAAGTTTATATTTTAAATGTGTATCTTATCATAAACATTCAGGAATAAACCAAACTTGACAAGCCTCCTTAGGATATGTGGCTATTTTTTTTACCAATATAACTGCATAAATTTACCAAATATACCAAATTGTAATTGGCATTGAATACAGATTCAAATATCATCCTTTGAACGGCAAGCTTAATAGATCTTGTGAATGCATCTACAGCAAATACACATATATGTAATTCAATCTGGAGGTATGACTGCAGAATTTTCCCTTTTCTCCTCAGGGATATGGGTTTTGGGTTCACTTCTGGTTGCCTGGTGACTACACCCAAGGATACTCCCAGCATAGAGATTATAGAGAGCCTGCACCTTGAAAAATATTCATCACACAATTTAATGCATAGGAGTGTTAGAACACATACCAAAATTATCATAAATACTGGATTATGCCTACACTACACTATTCTTCTGGAAAAAAGGACGCAAATTGTGAAGAGGAGGTTACTCAACTCCTGTAACTGACATTATTCTAGATGAGCATCCCTGGGGGTGCTCCACATCAAGTGTAGGGCATCTCTGTGCCTCTGGACAGAGTTTCTTGAAACAGTGTCTTAGGGGGCTGTGCGTGTGTGGCATGCAAAGCACATGGCCTCCGTTGGTAACTACGCGCACGCATGGCCCCCTCCTCCCTTCAGTTCCTTTTCTTTCTGGAACCCGGCAGAGGAGCGTGATTTACATGTTTGCTTTTTGCTTTTTTTTTAAAAGGGGACGAAGAGAGGGTAGTGGAGCACCCCCAGGGATGCTCATCTCAAAGAACATCAGCTACAGGAGGTGAGTAACCTCTTCTTTGTCAAGAGGCATCCCTGGGGGTGCTCTACATCAGGTGACTACAAGCAGTCTATCTTATGGAGGTAGGGACTTTGGATCAAGTAAGTATGCCATTTGGAAGACAGCTTTTGCTACTTTAGTGTGTCTTAAGGGACCTGAAGCAAGAGAGTAGTGTTTTGTGAAAGTGTGATCCGAGGACCATGTTGCTGCTGCGCAAATGTCCTCCAGTGGAACTTTCCTGAGGTATACGACCGAGGTTGCCACTGCTCTTGTAGAGTGCACTCGGATTGGAGCTGGTGGAGGTAAGTCATTAAGTGAGTAGCAAATGTTGATGCATTCAGCGATCCAATGGGATAATCTTTGTGATGATATTTCCTTCCCCATGTTATGGTTTGTGATGGAAACAAACAGGTGTGTGGAGAATCTGAATGATTTTGTTCTGTCGATATAGAAGGAGAGAGCTCTTTTGACATCGAGAGTGTGAATCTGTGCGTCAAAGGTGTTGGCATGAGACTTTGGGAAAAACACAGGTAGGTGTATTGTCTGGTTGATGTGAAGGGCTGTGTGGACCTTAGGTAAAAATTTGGGATGTGGCCGCATAGACACTCTGTCTCTAAGAAAATTGGTAAAGTGTGGACTGGACATGAGCATGGCCAGTTTACTTACTCTGTGTGCTGAAGTAATAGCCACTAGGAACGCTATTTTGAGCATTAAGTGGAGCAAGGAGCATTTGGCCATAGGTTCAAAAGGTGGTTTTGTTAATGTTGTCAAGACTAGCTGGAGGTCCCCTGGTTCTTGTGGTGGTGACACGTCAGGGTATAGCGCTTGTAGACCCTTCAAAAAACATTTAATTATGGGGTGTGCAAATAAAGTGGTGTCATCCAGTGGTGCATGGAATATTGTTATAGCTGCTAGGTGTACTCTAATTGAGGATAAGGAGAGGTGAGACTGTTTTAGGTGCAGCAAGTATTCCAGAATTACTGTGAGTGGGGCTGTTTGCAGTGATAAATTGCGCTCGCTGGCCCAGTATGTAAAACACGTCCATTTACTGATGTATGTTTTCCTTGTTGCAGGAGCTCTGCTGTGCAGGAGAACCTCTCGGACTTGCTGGGAACACTGGAGTGCTATGCTAGTGAACCATTGAGGTGCCATGCTTTTAGGTGGAGCATCGGAAGTTGAGGGTGAGATGTTCTGATTTGTGGGTGATAAGAAGATGTGAGGTACTTGTGCTAGCATGATTGGATGGCTTTGTGTCATCCTGAGTAGTAGGGGAAACCAAAGTTGGCGCAGCCAACATGGGGCTATGACAATGATGTTTGCTTTGTCCCTTCGTATCTTTATGATGACTTTGTTGAGGAGGGCGAAGGGGGGGAATGCATATAGCAGGGGTTCATTCCATGTTAGAATTAGAGTGTCCCCTAAGGATTGTTTGTCTATGCCTGCTTTGGAGCAATACGTTGTGCATTTTCTGCTGGATCTCGGGGCAAACAAATCTATACAGGGGTGGCCCCATTGGTTGAATATTCCCAGCATGATGGTGTGGTCCATCTCCCATTCATGTTCCTGGGGAAGGGCTCTGTTTAGGGCATCTGCTGTCATATTGAGAGCCCCAGGTAGATGGCATGCAGATAAGTGGATATCCCATCCTATGGCCCAGTTCCAAAGGGTTATGGCTTCTCTGCACAGGGGCTGTGATCGTGCCCCGCCTTTTCAGTTTACATAGAACACGCATGCTGTGTTGTCTGTGTAGATATGGACATGTATTCCTTTACTAGAGGGAGCAGTTTTTGACATGCTAGGTGGACAGCTCTGCATTCTAAAATATTTATATGCAGAGCACAGTCCGCAAAAGACCATACGCTTTGAGCTGTTCTCCTTCCATGTGAGCGCCCCAGCCTATAAGTGAGGCATCCGTGGTGATGACCACTATGTGCTCTGTGGATTGGAAGCATGTGCCTGTAGTTAGGTTGGATGCTTTTGTCCTCCATTTTAATGATGCCTTGACTGATGGAGGCATTGTTAGTTTTTTGTCAGTGAATGGATGCTTGGCTTGTACTGAGTCAGGAGTCAGCCTTGAAGACACCTCATAAATAATCTTGCGTTGGGCACCACCGGGTTGCAGGAAGCCATATGGCCCAGAAGTTGGAGGCAGTCAAGTGCAGTGACTGTAGTCATGTCCTGGAGGGATAGTGCTAGGTGCCTGATGTGAATGGATCTGTTGGGTGAGAGGGAGGCTCTGGCTGTGACAGAGTGAGGTGTGCCCCAATAAATTGGATGGACTGTGAGGGTGTAAGCATTGACTTGGGGCGGTTCACTAGGCGTCCTAGAGAGTGAAAGCTGTCTAGCACCAAATGAGTGTGTTGGTGGCACTCATGTCTAGACCTTGCTTTTACTAGGCAGTCGTCCAGGTAGGGGTTTATGGTAACTCCTTGTTTCCTGAGGTGGGCAGTGACTGCCGCTAGGATCTTGGAGAATACTCTCAGAGCTGTAGAAAGTCCAAAGGGTAAGACCGTGTACTAAAAATGGTTTGGACCTAAAATAAAACAGAGAAAATGTCTATGAGATGGTCTGATAGAAAGGCATTACCACCTACAACAGAGGAGGAGAAGCCTCGTACCCCCAAGGCTGGGAGGTCTGCTGCCACCACTGTGAATAGGAAATATAGGGTAGTGGTGGTCGGAGACACTCTTCTGAGGACGGAGGTGCCCATCTGTCACCCAGACATTTCACCTCGGGAGGTATGCAGTCTGCCAGGGGCCCATATTCAAGATGTTAGGGAGGCATTGTCCAGGATTATCCAGCCCTCTGACTACTTACCCCATGCTACTCATCCATGTGGGCACAATGATACTGCAAGGTGTGACACTGAGTGGATCAAGAGTGACTACAGGGCTCTGGGAGTATGGGTGAGGGAGTTTGGAGTGCAGGTGGTATTCTCTTCGATCCTTCCTGTCAAAGGTAGGGGCCCGGGCAGAGACAGGTGCATCCTGGAGGTGAATGCCTGGCTGCGAAGATGGTGTTGCCAGAAGGGCTTTGGCTTCCTCGACCATGGGATGCTATTCCAGGAAGGACTGCTAGGCAGAGATGGCGTTCACCTTTCGAGGAGGGGGATGACCCTATTTGGACACAGAATGGCTAACCTAGAGAGGAGGGCTTTAAACTAGGTTCAATGCGGACAGGTGAGCAAAGCCCACGGGTAAGTGGAGAACATGGAGACCTGGGAGATGGGTTGGAAATGGGAGAGAGCATGGTCTATAATGGCAGAGAGAAAGGAAGGTCAGGGAAAAACTGGGAGGCAAGGTCAAATCAGTATCTTAGATGCCTATGTACAAATGCGAGAAGTATGGGTAATAAACAGGAAGAACTGGAAGTACAAATAAGTACAATTATGACATTGTTGGCATCACAGAAACTTGGTGGGATAATACACGTTTGGAATGTTTGTATAGAAGGGTACAGCTTGCTCAGGAAGGATAGACAGGGGAAAAAGGGAGGAGGTGTTGCCTTATACATTAAAAATGAACACACTTGGAGTGAGGTGGAGATGGACATAGGAGACGGAAGTATTGAGAGTCTCTGAGTTAGGCTAAAAGGGGTTAAAAACAAGGGTGATGTCATACTATGGGTCTACTACAGGCCACCTACCCAGGTGGAAGAAGTGGATGAGGCTTTTTTAAACAACTAACAATATCATCCAAAGCCCAAGATTTGGTGGTGATGGGGGATTTCAACTGTCCAGATATATGTTGGGAAAATAACAGAGCAGGGCACAGACTATCCAATAAGTTCTTGGACTGCATTGGAGACAACTTTTTATTTCAGAAGGTTGCAAAAGCTATTGGGGGAAGCTGTTCTAGATTTGATCCTAACAAATAGGGAGGAAATGGCTGAGAATTTGAAAGTGGAAGGCAGCTTGGGAGGAAAGCGATCATGAAATCATATAGTTCACAATTCTAAAGAAGGGTAGAAGGGAGAAGAGCAAAATAGAGACAATGGATTTCAGGAAGGTGGATTTTGGTAAACTCAGGTCCCATGGGAATCAAGACTGAGGGGAAAAACAACTGAGGAGAGTTGGCAAAGGGACTTTATTAAGGACCCAAAAGCAAGCTATTCCACTGCGTCGGAAAGATAAAAAATATGGCAAAAGACCACCTTGGCTTAACCACGAGATCTTGCATGATCTAAAAATAAAAAGAGTCATATTAAAAAATGGAAAGTAGGACAAATTACAAAGGATAGGCAAACA